CGGTGAGCACCAAAGCCCCACTGAAGCAAGTCCAGCTCCGTAGGGTCGACACCTGCACAGCAACTGTTTCACTGTAGTCCCAGATGGTCCTCACAGCTGACTGGCCTGGGGAATCAATTCTTCCCCGTGATACCAATAGCAATTAAGACTCAACTACAACAGGACAGCGCACACAGCCCACACAGGGACACACCTGGAGCACCCAGCTTCGTGACTGGGGAGGCTGAGCCACTGGGCCCTATAGGACACCTGCTACACAAGGCCACTCTACCAGTCTAGGAGTTCTGCCTAATACATAGACACACACATAGGGAAGCAGCCAAAATGTAGACAAAGAAACACGTCGCAGATGAAAGAACAGGAGAAATCTCCAGAAAAAGAACTAAACGAAATGGAAGCAAGCAAATTACCGGAGTTCAAAGCAATAGTTATGCGGATGCTCAAGGAGCTGACTGAGAACTTCAAGGAATTAAGTGGGAACCTCGACAGCATGAAAAAGTACTTAGGAACCATAGAACAGACCCAGTCAGAAATGAGGGGTACACTAACTGAAATGAGGAACAACCTACAGGGAATCAACAGTAGAGGACGCCAAGAATCAAATCAGCAACTTGGAACATGAGGAAGCAAAAAACACCCCATCAGAACAGAAAAAAAGAATCCAAAAATATGAAGAGAGTGTAAGGAGCCTCTGGGATAATTTCAAGCGGCCCACATTCCATCACAGGGGTGCCAGAAAAGAGGGAGCAAGAAATTAAAAACCTATTTGAAAAAATGACAGAAAACTTCCCTGACCCAATGAAAGAAATAGACTTACAAGTCCAAGCAGCACAGAGAATCCCAAACAAGATGAATTCAGAGGCCCACACCAAAACATCGTAATTACAATGCCAAAGGTTAAAAACAGAGAAAATCTTAAAAGCAACAAGAGAAAAGCAGTTAGTTACCTACCCATACGACTGTCAGCTGATTTCTCAACAGAAACTTTGCAGGCCAGGAGTGGCAAGAAATATTCAAAGTGATGAAAAGCAAGCACCTACGACCAAGATGACTCTACTCAGCAAGGCTGTCATTTAGAATAGAAGGTCAGACAGAGAGCTTCACAGATAAGAAAGAGCTAAAGGAGTTCATCACCACCAGACCAGCACTACAAACATTATAAAATGTTAAAGGGTCTTTTTTAAGAAAGAAAAAAAAAAAAAAGATAAAAAATATGAACAATACAATGGCAATAAATACCTATCAACAATTAAATCTAAAAATCAAAATAAACAGAAAAGACAGACTCATACAGAGAACATTTTGACAGTTGCCAGATGGGAGGGGGACTGGGAGAGTGGGTGAAAAATGTGAAGGGATTTAGAAGTACTAATCAGTAGTTATAGTATAGTCTTAAGGGTATAAATTACAGCATGGGAAATATAGTCAATAATCTAATAACTAAGGGGTAGTATCAAAATGCGTATTAGATTTTTTGGGGATGATCACTTAGTAAGTTTTATGTCTAATCACTGGGGTGTATACCTGAAACTAATATAATATTGTATGCCAACTGTAACTGAAAAATAATGATTTAAAAAATAGAAGGCTGCTTTTCTCGGAAAAATAATCCCTTCCCACTCTACTCCCACCATCCACCTTCTCTCCGGTTTAGCAACAGTCCACCAGGAAAAGGCATTCATTTGTTATTCTCCCTAGTTCCCCTCCGCAATTTCCCAGCCCAGCAAAACATCTCTAACTCAGGATGACCCTTGGGACTAGGCTAATCTGTTAATACTCCAGAGACAGCAGCTTCTACGGACATGGAGTGATGATCTGAGATCATCTTTCTCAGAAATTATTTTAAGTAGGGAAGGAAGTAAAGTTTACTGTTTCACTGAACAGAATCAGTCACATCACTTCATTTGTACTCCCCCATATAGTCCCAGATCTTCACTTCAAATGCCAACTTTCTCAATGTGGCATTTAACAATTCTTCACTGAACAACTAATCCCCTTCCAAGCTTAAGAGGTACCGAAGACAGGAACCCCTGTTCTGCCATTGTTCTGTTACAATGCTTTAGTTGTAACAAAAAACCCAACCAGGAAATTTATTCCCTCACATAACAAGTTCAATGGTAGGGAAGTTCCAGAGCTGATTAATTCAGTGGTTCAAAAGTCATCAAAAACCAATTTTTTTTCCATTTTTCTACTCTGGCATCCTTAGGATACTGGCAGTTACTATTTCACAGTAGGCTCATAATAAGCCTGTGAGTTTCATTCAAACTGCTGCCTGATGGTTGGCTTGTATGAGGAAAACAACTTTCTTATTTGTACTCTGGAAGGCAACTTAGAATATCTATAGAATTTTTAAATGTGCATATCCTTTTATCTAGCAATTCTACTTCTAAAAATTCATCTCAAATTTATCTCACAGAAAATCTAAGGAGAAAAACAGGTAGAGATGTTATTACAAACTTTTAACAGCAAAAAATTGGAAACAGCCTTTGATACCCATCAATAGGGGGTGACTACATAAATTAAGAGGCTCATACAGTGTAATACATCTCAACTGTTTAACATGGAAATACATCCAAGTTTTGTTGCTAACAGTCAACCTGCAGAGGTATGTCTTCACAAATAAACAAAAATACCTGACACCAAAAGCATGTGAAACAAAAGTAAAAATAGGTAAACTGAATTACATCAAAATTAAAAACTCCTGTGCATCTCCCTAGCTGGTCTTGCTCAGTGGTTAGAGCACTGGCCTGTGGACCGAAGGGTCTCTCATTCGATTCCAGCCAAAGGCATGTACCTCGGTTGCAGGCTCGATCCCCAGCCCCCGTAGGAATGCGCAGGAGGCAACTAGTCGATGTGTCTGTCTCACATCGATGTTTCTCTCTCCCCTGCCCCTTCCACTCCCTCTGAAAAGCAATGGAAAAAATATCTTTGGGTGAGGATTGAAAAACAAACTCCCGTGCATTGAAAGACACGAGTGAAAATGCAACCCACAAAATGGGAGAAAATATGTAAAAAAACTCAACAAAAAGATAATCTGTTAACAAACGAGCAAAGAACTTTAAGGGACTCCTCCAAGAAGATACACTAATAACCAATAAACATATGAAAAGATGTTCAACATCACTGTTACGGGAAAGCAAATCAAAACCACAATGAGATCACGACCTCACAACCATTAGGATGGTTGCTATCAAAAATAGTTTTGCCGAGGACATGGAGGAATTGGAACCCTTGTGCATTGCTGGTAAGAATGTAAAATGTTGCGGCCACTGTTCCTCAAAAACACTCCTGGGCATATACTCAAAAGAACTGAAAGAAGCGTCTCCAGGAGATATTTGCACACCCAAGTTCATAGTAGTACTATTCACAGTAATCAAAGGGTGGAAGCAACCTGAGTGTCTACTGACAACTGAATGTATAAACAAAATGTGGTATATACAAGGTATTATTTAACCTTAAAAAGAAAATTCTGACAGTCTACAACACAGATGAACCTTGAGAACATTATGCTAAATGAAATAAGCCAGTCACAAAAAGAAAAATACTGTATGACCCCACTTATATGAGGTATCTAGAGGGGTCAAATGCAGAAACAGAAAGTAGAATGGTAGTTGCCAGGGGCTGGAGGAGGGAGGGATGGTGAGTTGTTTAATGGGTATGGAGTTCCAGTTTTATAAAATGAAGAAGTCCTAGAGATTGGTTGCACAATGTGAAAATACTTAACACTACTGAACTGTACATTTAAATATGGTTAAGACAATAAATACCATGTGTATTTAACCAAAATTTCAAAAAATTTAAAAGAAATAACCATGTAATTCTTGATAGTGGTTATCAATGAGAAATACTGAGGGGGAAAGGAGGGGCTTCTGTTTTCTACTTTGTATCTTTCTGTACTGTTTGCATTTTGACCATAAACATGTACAAGTATTTTAAAATTCAATTTTTAAAAATTCCATGTTTTAAATTAAAATTAAACTCTAGGTACTGAAAGACTTAAGTTTCTATGCCACCTTAAGAAGTTTTACCAAGCATCTCATCTCCTCCCAAAAGCATGCCACGAGTAGGTGGTTATGACTAGTTCTAAAAGGAGTAATTTTTAAAAAGCTCCTGTGTCACTGAGTTTACATGAGATGCTGCCTAATAGGCTTACCCCAGGTACTGCCCATGACACTTCCTTGGGCACTTCTCTTATCCAAATTAGAGATCCACTCTAATCCTGAAGCTGACAAATGTGATACAGTAATAGCTGGTGCCTGCAAACACAAAATCTTGAGAGTTCAAACCATTTTTATCCATCTTTCTCCCCACCTACTACCTACTAAAGGAACACCAACCGCCATCTAATTCTCCTCCCCTCTCCGCTTGAAGAATGTTATGTTAGTGGGTGGTTAGCAAGACCCCCTTGGAAACCAAAAGTCATTCCAGAAAAATAACTGCTCATATACCAAGGGCTGCCAACAAGAGCAGCTTCTCAGCAGCATGCTTTAACCTCAATGAAGGAGAACGCAATGCCTCCTATAATACAAATTCTGGTTGGAAGAAAAAAAATCTAGATTGTGGAAAAGTATAACTTAAAAAGCAAACACCACAGGTTCTGGTAGAGCACAAAAGCAAGCAGATTTCTAAACACAGAGCTCAATTGTAAGAGTTCGACTGTACCTTATTTCTATCATCATTTGCTGTCAAAAATAGGACCTTCCATGTCTTGATCCATTCGGAATAAGCCACAGCAGGCAGTTTTGCTTACATGGGGCAGCCAGGTCAGAAAGGCCCACGAGGAAATGGAAGCAGCAGCCAGCAGGTTTTCTTAGGGATTATATCACTCCAGCTTTTACCCCTTTCCAGCTATTTTGGTGTCAAGAAAGCTAGTCTTTGCTCTTCTCTTAAAAAGCTTTTCACCAGAAAGGCTGAAGCAGTCTCAGGGCTGCAACTCCCCCTACTGCCCAGTATTTTCTTTGCATGCTGTAGCAGGTTCAATGAATTTCAAACTCAAATGGTAAGAGCTAAAGCAGCGCTTTATTTCAAAATATTACCAAAAAAGCACAAGTTCAAATAGGAGCAGAACAGCTAGAATGCCAAGTTGCAAGCTAGGTTTCTACACTCACCTACAATCTTTCTCACAAAGGGTTTCTTTCACTCAGTTTAAAGAAAAGTTCTGTATCTCCTCCACAGGCACTTGGAAAAGCAGGAAATGGCCTTCTCGGTCCTTTCTCACCCGCACTTCATAATACTGCCCATCACGAGAATTTTAAGGAAGGTCTTTCTCATCTTTCAAGATCCAACTTAAATAGCACTTAACATGTGGTATTGAAGCTATTTGTTTGCCAGTCTGCCTCACTGTATTTATTCAACTTTGTGTCTATCTAACAGCAGATGCTCCATAACCATTTAACAGAATTCTAACTAGAACCACTGTGAGATCCTGGGGGAGGAGAGATTTGTCCACACAGTTCAATTAGGAAATAAGCAATCTCAGTGTCGCTCCTGCTTACGCTTAACAGAGCTCATTCTAATGTACTTTTAAGGCATTTCATTCTTTGCCCATACCCAAATACTTCTCACATTCGGATCTTAGTGATAAAATAATTAACAAAGACCTCACACAATGACTCTATGAAATACTGTAGCTGTTATGTCCCCAACCTCCTGTGGTTAGAAACTAGTGTTCTAACTAGTAGAAACTGTAGCATCCAGAGTTAAAATTGATGAAGGTGACATTTATTAGTGTAATAGGCTATTTTTGTGAACCCTCCTGTTCTCTTCCACCCAATATCAGAAGCTTACATGTCAGGTAGAATTCCTACTCTTTGTCTTAAGAATCTATACATCAGCCTGGCCGGGCATATGCCCGGTTGTGGGCTTGATCAATGACTCTCTCATCATTGATGTTTCTATCTCTTTCTCCCTCCTCTCCTTTCCTCTCTCTGAAATCAATAAAGACATATTAAAAAAAAAAAAAAAATCTATAGATCAGACTTTGTGAAAAGCAAATGCCCATGGCCAACAGCCACCCTTCAGAAAACTAAAATACCAACAGCTAATGGTGCCACTTTGTAAAAGGTCTTCACCACTGGATAGAAAGAAACCATGTAAATTTTTTAACAAAAACAATTCCACATCATTTATTGTCATCTGAGAGTAACATAAAGGTAATGAAAGCAATATGAATAAATGTTTATGAACTACATTCCCAACAAAGGACACCTACAAAACACAAACTGTTTGGTTCTCAACAATTTCCCACTTCATTAGTCATTTCTAGTTGGAGACACTTTGGAGCAGAGTAATATTATCTCCTTTTAGCATGATCCGACCTGCAACACAAAATTAAAAAGTTATTACTACCTACTCAAACAACCTTTTAACCTCAGAATTTTGAATGTTCTTGAGCAATTTTGAAAATATTTTCCTGTATGTAAGCATTTTCAAATACCCATAGTAAAAGGTTGTGTACACTGGAGCATATGCACTTTTCAACAGCTACCTAATGTAGAGAATGTAATTTTATGAAAAGTAGTTTCTGTAGACTAAGTTAACTAAATAGGTCTACCCCAACATTTCCCGATGCTCAGTTTGTAAAAGTTGGGAAATGAGTTGTACGTCAAGTTTAGAAAATGCAGCATATTATTGCCCCATTCTTAGAGCTCTTAGTATATTAAAGATTACATCTTCAATAAACATACCTGTTTAAATTTCACCCAACATTTCCTAAACGTTTCTGAGCAGAGAACACTTTTTTCCTGAGAAATATCCATAAATATCTTCAGGAACACTGGCATTCAGTAAAACAGTCTGAGAAATGCCAATCAACCCCAATAGTGACTAAATTGTTTCACTTTCCCAGGCTTCCACTACAGGTAATAATCTTTTCTACATTTACAAGATACTACTATGGGAATTCAACTTCATAAATTATTTATAAGTAATATGTCAATAAGGCGAGTGTGCCCTTCTCAGCACATTTAAATTTAAAAAATTCAGGCTTTCGCCCTAGACACTTTGGCTCAGTGGTTAGAGCACAAGCCCATGGACTGAAGGGTCCTGGGTTCAACTGCAGCCAAGGGCACATACCTCGGTTGCAGGCTCAATTCCCTGGCCCTGGTCAGGGAAAGTACAGGAGGCAACCAACTGATATATGTATGTGTCTGTCTGTCTCTCTCCCCCCCTTCCACTCTCTCTGAAAACAATGGAAAAAATATCCTAGAATGAGGATTAAAAAAAACCAAAAAATAAAAATAAAAAAAACCCCAGGCTTTCATAAAAGTAGCCTAAGCAGGAAGAAGCGGAGCAAAACAACGCCTTTCAGAATCTACTTTCCACATATCTCATATAGGCTCAAGAGAATGCTCAGGGTCTGGGAAAAGAGACATTTGAAGCCCACCACCGATGTAAGTACTAGTGAGCTGTGAACAGGGGCATTAAACAATAAAAACAAAATGCCTAAATAAACCTAAGTTAATGGGATTTTAACAAAAATGGTTTATTCTTGATGAAACCATGAATCCTAAAGACCTTCTGTTAACTGGGTTAAGACATTGTGTTCATTGATCAAATGTTTTTCAGTTTCTACTACATGCCAGGCACTGAATTAGGCACTGAGCATGTTAGGGAGCAAAAAAGATGGGACTCATGCACTTATGGAGCATCTGGCCCAGTGGGAGAGAAATTAATAAAATAATACCCACTAATGAATGTTTTACTACACAGAGAGCAGCGCATACCCTGTTCACCCCTCCCCTCTATTCCCACCCTAAGCAAAGCAAAGCAAAGCAAAACCAAACCAAACCAAACCCTGGGATGAGGTGACATTTCAACTGTTGTAAAGACACAAGAAACAGGATATACAAGATTATGGTGGAGTAAATGTGCAGATTCAAAGAACTAAAAAAACAGACAAACGTGGATGAAGCTCAGAAAATGAAGCAGAGAGCAGATCATGAAGAACCTTGGAGAATACATTAAAAATTTCCTTATCCTACAAGCAGCAGGAAGCCACTGAAGTGCGTCAAAGGGATGACAAGGTCAGATTGGTGTTTCTAAAAGATCAGTGCAGCCTGCAGAGCAAACTGGAGAGGATGAGGTAGTTGCAGAGCAATCAATTAGTAAACCAAACAGAAATGTGCTACTCACTAAGATAGGGAACACTAAAATAGCTCTGAAAGTGTGAGGGGTGGGAACTGAGTTTGATTTTTGATATGCTAACTTTGAACAGCCTTTGAGACATTCAAATAGAAATGTTTAATAGGCTCAGAGAGGTCTAGGGCTAGATGTAAACTTGGGAGTCAAAGCAGTCATTAGGTGATCTCACAGTTGCGCAGAGTGCATTTACACAAACAGCCTACTACACATCTAGGCCTATATGGTACCACCATGGTATGTGCAGCCCATCATTAACCGAAACGTTGGGATGAGGCACATGACTGTATATAGATGGTAACTGAAGGTGTAGTCTTGAGTGCCTAAGGAAATACAGAGTGACAGGAAGTGCTACAACCAAGCTTTGAGCAATTTAAACATTTAATGGTTGGGTCACAAAGAATGAATTTACAGAAGTCTGAAAAGAAATAGTTAACTAGAAATGAAAAAATGAAAGCCTGCTTATAGTATCACAGAGACAAGGGAAGAAAGTGTTTTAAAAAGGGAGTAGCCAAACAGTGCCAAATGCTGTGGAGAGGACAGTAAATTAGGACTAATATTGACCATTAGACTTAACACCATTAGTCTTTGGTGACACTGGTGAGAGCTAGCTAAGTGGAAAGTCAGAAGTAGAAATGGTGGGGTAAAGAATAAGTGGCAGGGGATTTCAAGTGTACCCTCCCCCCCACAAATAACGTCTCAAGTGTAAACTAAATGTAAACATGAACTAAGTTACAACTCACTCCATTCTGCAAGTGAATAAAAATTTCTAAAATTCTCTAAGACTATCTATATTCTTACCTAGTTGTTTTCTTGACTTTGTTTTAGAATGAATCTCTTCTGCATCATCTAATACGAGGTTCATATACTCATCAAAACCCTAGAAAAACAAACCATTGACTGTCATCTTCAAGTAAGAGCACATTCAAACCATTCTAAATAAATACACCCATATAGATTCAGATTTGCAAACTAAGTTCAGAAATTCATCCCTTCACTGATCTTTCAGTTGAAACACCACCTCCCACTCTAAGCCTCTTTTTAAATAATGAAGAAAGCCAGAACATATTCCATTAGTTCTGGAACTTTTGGACTTAAGATTTCATTTACTATGGCAAAGAGCCACTCTGCCTATCTTTTATAACGTGCTCAATATGCAGTATGTGTGTACATATATGAATTAATTTCTGCCACCACTTTTCCCATGTTTCCCACAGAACACTATCACCACTAACCACCACTCTTATTTTCCAACTAATAAACAGGGAAGGTGAGATTACTGAAGAAATCTATGATGCCCAAAGGGCATACTTTCAGCCACATGTCATCCTTCTTTAAAACATGATTTAAGCCCCGGCCAGGTGGCTCAGTTGGTTGGAGCGTTGTCCCAAACACCAGGTTATGGGTTCGATTCCAGCCAAAACACATATATAGGTTGCAGGCTCGATACCTGGTAGGGGCACACACAGGAGGCAACCAATTGATGTTTTCTCTCTCACCAAAATAAAAAAAACATATCCTCAGATGAGAATTTAAAAAAACCCCAAAACACTATACTTAAGGTATTCTGCCACCCTGGAAGTCTTATTTAACTAACCACACCCAGCTCGATCAGGTATCACCTAACCCAGATTGTGCTCCATTAATCCTCACCCCCCTTTAATTTTATTTTTCTGCCCCCTCCATCAAATACTAACGCCGTTTAGATTACTTTTAAAAATTAATTTTCTATTTTATGAATTACCCAATCTCTATCAAGTAAAACAATGAGGCAAGGGCAATGGGTCCTGAAACACTTTTCTTGGGTTGGGTCTTTGACTTTTTTGTACACTGCTCTGGCTCGCCATTTTTTGTGAAATTTTTTTCTATAACAAACTGCTCTGAGATAAAATATCCTGGGTACTCACAATGATACAGCCCTCTATCCGCATATTCACTTGCTCATAAAGCCACACTTGAATCCGAGATCTCTAAGATAAAAATAGAAATGTTAAAAAGTACACAAAATCCAATCCCTGTGGTCAAACAGTAGAGAAACATGGCTCCTAAGAAACTTAAAAAAAAAAAAAAAAAAAAAGGCCAAGAGTTTTACCCATTTGACTCATATTAGAATTGCTAACCCAGACTGGTTACCTGCCAAGAAGCATTCTCATTTAATAAATGCTACACAGGGACCAGACAGTCCCAAGTTAGATAACTTAATCTTGTGATCTTGGGACTCAATCATACTTCTTACTGCTTCTAGTTTCAATACACTTAGAGCGAAAACTGGTGCCAATACAGCACAAAGCAGTAATTTCTGAAGACGAGGGGCTTCCTTCTTACATGTGACAGTAAAATCCAGCACCAAAACAGCTGGCTCTAGTTTTTCAGTTTTCCAGGTCTCATATCTAACGACCAGGGGAGAAACCTCCAATTCTGATGGTTAAAAATTACAGTGGCTTAAAATTAATCTGTTTTCCAAATGTGTTGTCACACACTAAAATTTGTCAGAGCAAAAGGAACTACATTTTCTCTCAGAGATTTAAACACTTTTTTCTGCCAACTCAGACTCTTGCTAACAATTCCCCCAAAGGAAAGCAGGCTGTCCCTAAGTCCTCCAAACCTATCCCTCCTCTTCCTTTTTTTAGTGTCTTTTCTATACTTAAGTTTCCCCCCAGGTACTAAAACCACTTTATTATGTGATTTAAAACTACTTGGATTTTTCTTCCAATGTTTCATCCTAGAGGGAAAAATAAAAAAAGGTTGCAATGTTCTGATCGTAATCACCACCAACAAAAGTGCCAATACCCAAACACCACCGTCATGTCTGCCGATGATTTTTGAAATTAGTAATTTTGGTCTTGCGAAGTGATGACAAAATTCTTTACATGCTTGCAGCTAGCACGGCTCCACAGCATATTATGACATTAGCGCTCTCCCTGCACCCCTTGCCCTCGAATACCCCTCCGATCTCCACAAGTTCACCTCTTCAACTGTAGAGCACAGTGATCGGACTACACAACAAGATAACGGAACAACAAACAACTTACGTACATTTTGCAGGTATCTGAAGATGAGGTTCTGCACCAACGGTTAAAGAAAAAAGACACGTACAGCGCACACTCTGTTCCCTGAAACCGGTCCCTACTCCCATCGAATGTTTTCGGAACGCGAAGCCTGGTGCCCACGCCGCGAGAAAAGCCCAACTAGGCTCTCTTTGGGGGTCCCTCCAGACTCCGAGGAATCTCCTCCCTCTCCCTCTTCTTCTCAGGGAGTTTCCTTTGGCGCCATCTTCCTCCTCCCCCAAACCGACACCTCCCGCGCGTATTCAGTACCTAATTAAGGCTGTTCCCCCCGCAACGCTCGCCCCCGCCCGGCCCGCAACCCTCGCAGGGCTCTGCCGGA